GACGGGAAGCGGAGGCCAGACTGGCACTCCCCGCGGCGCCCTTGAGAGGATCCCCCCTCTCAGGCCGATAGCAAGTCGGGGCACTTCGTCCTCGTTGGCAGAGCTCCCTTCAGGTCTCATTTTGCGCCGCTGGGCTCGCCCCCATGTAGCGAGGCTGAAGGGTCACCCCGCTGGCTGCCGTTTCATGGCGAAGGGGAGAGCGGTGGCTCTTCAGCACAGACGGACTGTGGGTGTGGGGCGCCCGGCTGGAGGGAGCTCTTTGGGGTTTCCTTCTGAATGGGGTCACCCCGCTAGTGCCCTTGAGAACCTCTCCCCACCTAGGTAGGGGCGAAGTCAAAGGCTCCTGTTGGGTGGGGGCAGCTCTTTTCTTTCCCCCTCCCCAGGAACCGAGGGACAGAATCGCCCCCTGGCGCCTGTCTGAGGAGCCCCATGTACACGACAGTGGTCGGAAACTAGAGTTATCGCCCCTTTGATGCCCTTGGAAAGTGCCCCTATTTTTGGAGCGGAAAGGGCGACAGAGTCTCTATTGGTGCCCTTGAGAGAGTCCCCAGGTCTCTGTTCCCACTTTCTAAAAAATAATAATAATAATAATAATAATAATAATAATATCTCACATCCTAGGGCTGAGAAGGAGAGGCTCTTCCTGGGGCGAGGGGAACAAGAAGGCTCTGATTTGGACCCTTCTCGTTATCCACTGTGATCCGACTGAGTCTCTCCCCTTATACGTCTTGAGGGAAGGAGAGCACTCTACCTTTGCCCTTGAATATATTCTTTCTAGAAGGTTTTGGGATGCCGTTGAGGGGGATTTCCATGCCTGAGGTGATGGTGGAGTCAGGACTCTCCCGCCCATCCCTCCCACCCCCTGTCTTCTAGAGTTGGGCATGTTCCTGAGAGACCTTTTGTCAGCGTTAAGATGCTCCTCTGTGCTGGCAGGCATTTTCCTTGGGATAGCTGCACAAAGGGGACTAAGTTCGGGTCTCCCTTAGACTTTCAAGGTAACTCAGAATCTGAAAGAGTATTCAGATTTCTCCCCACTCAACTTCTCCCGTTATCTTTAATGAGGAAGATGCAAAAGAGCTTCCCCTACTTAGAGCTCCATTTGAGCGGAGCCTCGAGTTTCCCCTTTTCTTGGCTGCGTCTTTCCAGAGATCACCATCTCGTTCCCCCTGGAGCAAGTCGCGGGGGCAAACGCTGAGGCTGCCGCCACTCCCCCCCCCCCCCCCCACATCTCGC